CTGAGAAATGGAGAAGAGATGGGCAGAACGGAATGGGTGGGCAGTAAATTATCGGCTCTTAGAAAACACGACAAGATATTTATTTATAGCATTCAGTTAGGGGCACTTGGGGTGTGTTGAAATGTGATGGGGGGGTGGCTTTTGCAAAGGGCATCTTAGGTGGTCAGCGCTGACCTGCACTAACCCCTTGTATCCTGTCTTATTCTCCCACCCTTCCACTTGTCTTGTACCCGAAGCAAACCAAGACCTCCCTGGCAATTAGGGAGCGAGTCACACCCACTCCCTGCCCCCAGAAGGCAGTAAATTTCCTCCTCCTCTTGGCCTTGTGACACGTCAGAGTCGGGCTTCTGGACACCATTCAGCCCAGCGCCCGCTCGCTTTATTCCCCACTCTACATTTTACCACCACCCCTTGTTTTGTTTTGCTGTCTCAATCCATCAATCTTCCCATTAGCCTCCATATTACGGAAACCATGGGGAACGCCCCCTTTACACCAGCCCCTTAAATCTGTCTTCCCCTCAGCCTCCCCCTCTTGCCGCTCTGTCTCCCCCCTCCATTCTTCAGCCCAGCCTCATTAGTCCTACCTGTTGCTTTCAAACCGGTCCACTCTCCTCCGGAGTCGAGGTTAACACCAGACAGGGCAAACGGGAAGCTAAAGGATGGAGCGGGTGAAGGATTGGGGGATGACGTGGGGTGGGGGGGGTGGTAGCAGCACTTTGGGTGGCATGGTTCCTGCAAGGGTGGGACACAATGCCCCCAGTGTTCAGGCGGGCCCATAGGAGCTTGTTTTACAACAGGGGAGGGGCAGCCATCAATGGCCAGATGATGTGAACCACCCTGAGCCAATTCACGGTGACAAACAACCCCCCCCCCCCACCACCACCACCACCACCTCCCACTCCTGGTTGCTGCTTTCTCCCATCACCTCCCTTCTTCTCTGCACACATTCTGTTCTGCTGGACCGAACCCAGAGCAGCGAAGTGCAGCAGCACCCCAGCTGAATGGTGTGCGCACACGCACATGCACATGCGCTCCACGTTTCTCACATGCATGAGCATATTTACCCTCTGACTCATGCAGGAAGACCCTCCAAGAACATGAGCTAGTATTGGTTTAATTAAACCAGCATGGTGCTCATTTGATCCCCTCGTTTCATTCTTAATAAGGATAATTAATGACGACCTGAATAAGTAAATTATACTGTCAAACGGACCCCCCCCCCCCCCCCCCCACTGCAGATGTGTGGCCTTGAATTGGAGGTCACTCCTCCTCTGGATCTCCTAAGTTTGTTGTCTCCTGTTGGGGAGTGAAGAGGAGAATTGGAAATATCCTCCATCCGTTTATCTTGTGAGCTGGAAAACTTGACAAAAAAAGAAAGAAGAAGTTACCGAATTAGGTTTTGGTGTGGCTCCATCTAGAACGGTCACCATCGAAAATTAGGTTGCCACATCAAAATCCAAGATGGCTGCCACCATATAATAATATGTCATCTGGCCACCATGTTTGTTAGATTTAATGTTGCTTAAAAGTAGTTTCCTCAAATGACTGGGGAGGCTGAAGATGAATATATGAGGGCCAAGGCCACCATTGGCCACCCTCCTTGTAAGGAGCTGCCACGACATCCACCATGTGGATGCTTCCGTAGTCTCAGTTTGACCTGAGCAGAAATCTTTCATGGCAGTTTCCAGATTACACAGCATCTGAGTAGCTGATTAATCTGGTCAGAATTAAACTCTACAGTTGTTCAAAGAGCTATCTGGAACAGGTAAGATACTTTTTGTGCATTGTATTTTCACAGATATTTGAACTAATGCCTGTAAGATCTGTTCAGCTCTAACATTAGTCATCCTGCAGGCTTTTGTTCTTCATAAAATATTTGGCCACGAGACGAGAACGCCAGCATGCAGCAGATTATAATACAGATTGACAACAAGTGTTGACAACCTATGACACAGTGCATTTGAACAGGTTTGTCACGGTGCCAAGTTTAAACAGCTTTTATTAAATCATCAGGTCCACCGTCATGAATTTTACATCTGATGAGCCTCCAAACTCAAACATCTGTCGCCTCATCTGGATGGAAACCGTTTCTTCTTGGAGAGCACGTCTGTCTGTGTTGAGGGCGTGACAGCTGGTTAGCAGTTAGCTGCTAGGACAGCAGTCCGCCCCCTTGTTAAAGATGGTGTGTGTGTGTGTGTGTGTGTGTGTGTGTGTGTGTGTGTGTGTGTGTGTGAGGTGGGATCTGGAGGATAGAGTAGAGGAATGTAACTCAGCCTCGTACGACACTAATTGCAGTAAGACAAGGAGGGCCCGGGCTGCGAGTGTAAACCGTTGTTCTTCTTTCAGGCGTCCTCTTTTGACTCCTGACTGTTTGAATGAATCCTTGTAAAACTCAGCGGATCCAAATCATTAGAACCTTTTACAGCCTTTGTGACGCCAAAGATACTCCCACAGCAAAACCAAATAGATTTCCTGGGCTAAACTGTCCATCTATGTAAAATCCTCCACTCTGAAATGAAAGCAGATTTTTACAGGGCAGGAGAGTTTGTGACATCTCAGCAACTCGTTGTTTAAAGTTGTGTTAAAACTGGAACAGTGTCCTTTAACATATTGTGTCGACCATGCTGGAATTATTACAAACTGACAACTAAACCACACAGCTTGTATAAATGTATAACATGTAATAATATATAATTCTACCCGTTAGATTTACTTGATTTGTAGCAAAAACCTACTTTGTTAGAGTTATAAGAATGTAATTCTCCACTCGTGCACCTTTGCAACAGTTTTATGGTTCCATCGTTTGTTATTTAAAAAGTTTAGAAGATATATTTATTTTCCTTGACATCCGTTACTTTTCTAAAAAAAACAAAAAAACATCATCGACACCTCAGGAAGCACATTTTGAATGTTGTCCCTGTCAATCTGTTCCAGCTGTAAAAGCCAAAGTGAAGATTAATCAGCATTTAACCGCTTGAAAACTTAATTACCATAAATTTATGGCCATAGATTTCCAGCCCAATTCTAATGTTCTGGAATTGCGCCGCTCGGGGTGGCTGCATGCCGGAGCAGCTCTGTTTCATTCAGAGTTGTTGCTTTTGAAAACTTTAATTCCTCTTTCTTTATGGATGTAAATCACTTTTTTTTGGATGATTATTTCTCTGGTATCGGATGCTGTGCAGCTGGGAGGATTTTTACTCAAACTTTTTACTTTGGGGCATTTGTTATGATGCGTAACCATGGCAACAAGGTGTTTTTTAACGAGCAGGAGCAGTTGATTAACACCTCAAAAGTAAAAAAAAACTCAGCTACTGTCCCAAATCCTAAATGAGTTGAAAAGGAGGCGCCGTGGATGAATTCCCGTCAACCT